AAATCAGAGACAGTCAACGCCTACCAAAAGCCATCTGTCTTCTCTGTTTTAATTAGACAGTCGGATTTCCCAATTCCGTGCAAGTTCTGAGTTGACTATTTAGCGCCGATTGATGTACACTGAACCGCCGCTCAACTGCACACCCAAAAGCATACAATCAAACAGTGCGTATATATAGCCAAAGCAGTTTATAATACAGCTCAAACGCTAGCTGAACGCCACTTGGTCAAAAAGACAGAACAGTGTCGCGTGAAGCGACCAAAGAGCGCCAATCGAGACTCGACGGCAATATTTAGTAAACAGCGATCAACACGTATCTCCCGTCGGCAGATGGACTTTGACCAGACAGTTTACAGTAAGAGGCGATTCAGACGGAGATACGAAAGCAGATGGTTGTATATAAGCTTGGCGGTTTCAAGCTTTCGGCAGATAAAAGTGCCAATCAATTGATTGTCGACAGTGTAAATTCGATTGTGATTTTTATTCGTCTTGTGCTATTATTGCGGTTTTGTTTATTTTTCTTCAGATTATATTGATTTTTCCGTATATGCTGCCACGAAGACATTATCAACAATGAGTATTTCTCCGCGCTGTTTGATTCGACTTGCTCAAAGCAGGATTCGTCGCTATGTGGCTCAGTCACGAAACATAATTATGCCAAACTGAGCCACGCTGCTAAGCAGCCAACAACTAGAAACTGCTGCTCAGCTTATTAATAACGTCAATGAGCTTAAAGCAAAAATTTTTACTGTTCTGAACCAGCTTATTAAAGCAAATACTACTTGGCAGGACATTACTGCCGGTCTCTCTGGAACGCAAGAAGATAAAGAGCAGACCTTATACTATAAAATGCCTCAGAAACCCGAAAATCTTCTTACTGATATCGGCGCTGCCAGTGAACAGTTGGTGCATCTGCGATTTTTCCGCGAGCGACTACAACAGCAGGCGCACCAGTTCAACGACTAATCTTCTGCTCAAACTCAAGCAACCTCCCCAGCAATAACTAGCACAGCTGACAATCAACCAGACAGACGAACAAAAACCGATTCCATCTTCAGGCAGTTTCCATATTTAAGCTTGCAGAATCCCGATTTACCTCCATTAGAACTGCCGCAATTTTTGGGCAACCTAAAAGACTTGCCAGCTTATTGGAGTACCTTCCAAGAACTAATTCACAACACTACGATGCCCGATATCAAGAAGCTATGCTACTTGTGTGAAACCTTATCTGGTCCCCCCAGCATTCTGGTTTCCAAGTTGGCTAAACGACCTGAGAATTACAAAGCGGCCATCGAATTATTGAAAGATGTATACGAGCAGGAACATGTTATCCCAGCCCTCCTGCACCGCAATCTTCAAACTATCCCCTCGATTACTCCCGAAAACGACTTGCCCCAATTATGGTGCACATTACAATCAATTCTTCGCCAACTCACAGCTCTGGGGGACGACATAAATGATCTCAATATCGTAGCAGTTTCTAGGCTACATTATATGCTACGTTATTCACCAAGTTATTGTTATTTTAAATTGTCCTTAACGGTAAATTACCTCAGTTGTCTTACTAAAAATTGTAATATCAAGCACTTACACATCACATACTTATTCTAATTTTTCTATCTCCCAATATCACTATGTATCACTGTCTTCTTCAAACCGTCTGGGCCATAGTGACAAGTGAGAAAGGCTCCAATTCCGCTACCCCAAACTCCTCTACTGGATCTCGTGTACCGATAGCAGTCGACGAAGCCCAAAGAAGCTCGTCTTACAATTCGCAGAATACTTGAAAGCAGGAACGAAGAATATGTCTTCAACCTTCTTTGGCAGACCAGTTGGTGCAGAATCAAAAGAGACAAGGCGGCTGCCACAGTTACTGATCCACCTTTGGACTTTGTTTGACTGCAGCCGCAGAGTATGATTCAAGCTACCCAGCTTTAAATTTGTTTTGTGAATAATAATATCCAGAGTTTGAGAGCTCTGCTCGCCTTGCTAGCAGTACCAGTTCGCACTTCTCCAGTTGCAGGCTAAGAGCAACGCTAGAAGTACTTAATTCTGCCGTGAAAAATCAGTTCTTCGAGAAGCAATAAGCGAATAAAACGAAGATTCCACAGTCGACAGCATAACAGTTAACTTATAACTACTTTCGCGGCCCGGAGTGTGTTGCGGCGCAACAAGAAGGTGCAATGATACAGTTACGGAGAGGGAAGAAATCAGATCGATTACGCAAAATAAAAAAAAAAAAATGTTGTTACTGGAGCCAACGACGAGCAGAACCCCGATCGGGTAATTAGCATAAACAGTCTTCAACAAAAGATCTGCAAGCAAGCAGTATCAAGCCGGCGCCAGCAGAATTTGTTTAAAAGGAGATAGCGGAAATAAGCGGGGTCCCTTTCAAAACATCACACTTTGGTAAATCGACGGTTGAGAAGTACTGCTATTTTTGATCTCTATTGATAATTGTTTTATTCGCTACTATTCCTTGATTTATCTGACTTGACTATCATCTGTTAAAGGTGAGTAATATTTTCTTGTATTTTTATGTGCATTATTATTCGTTTCCTGTTTGGTGTTTTGTATGTTTCACATTGCCTTATTAATTTTCTCTGTAGTTAGCGTCTATTTTCTCAATCCTTGTCTATTCAATCATATTGACCTCCTTTTCTCTCTAACAAGCATAAGTTCACTTTGCTCATTCCATATAATAATTATTTTAAATAAATATTCCTAAATAAAAAAAATAAAAGTATTTAAAGGTGTTGTAGTTGAGTCGCGGCTAACCAAAAAATCATAAGTTACAACAGGAGATATCGCAACAAGAGGGCTCACTCTAGCAGCCCTGACGCAAACTCAACTTTGGTGGCATGGTCCGGATTAGATGGGGAAGAACGAATCGCAATGACTACTACACTCCGACACTCTGTCGACCTCGATTGCAACTGGCAGAAGTTTAAACACCGTGCGCACTCATGATTTCATCATCGAATACACGACTACAAAATGCTGGGAACAGCTGTGCCGCGTTGTAGAAAAAATCCTCACTTTTTTTCAGGTCTTCCATCGCAAATATATTGCACTCCCCAGCAGCAAAGCAACGCAACATGATCGCAGAACCTGGACCGAAACATTTCTTTTGTCTCAAGCCCAAAATAACCTCACAGATGCAGAAATCAAGCAGTGGAGACTGGTAAAAGACGAGGAAGGTTTATGGAGAACACCAGGAAGACTATCGCTTCTACATCAGATACCACCCATTTTTTTCAATTATCAACATCCGCTCACTGCAGCACTGATTCTGAAGGCTCATCAGGAATGTAACCATTTTGGTGTCTCCTATATCCTTACAAAATTTTGGGAAAAGTTTTAGATTGCGAAGGGACGACAAACAGTAAAAAGTGCTTAAAGCGCCACTGTATGAAATGTTGCAAAACAGACGCCCTTCCTTTCAAACTACTCGCGATGACTTTACTTCCTCTAAAACGCTTGGAAACTTCACGACTCTTTCAGCATGGCGGTATCGATTACGCAACACTATTCAACGTTTCAAACGGTAAGATACAAAAAAGATGGATTTGCTTGGTCATGTGTTTAACAACTAGAGCAGTACATCTAGAACTTGTATCAGACCTTTCGGAACAGTCCTTCCTTAATGCATACAAGCGATTCACGGCCAGACAAGGAGAACCAAAAACAGTGGTATCAGATAACGGAACACAGTTTAGGACTGCAGTGGAGAAACTTTGTACAGACTAGACTTTTATCAGACCGCACGCACTGTGGAAAGACGGTATTTACGAAAGAATTATTGGTTTGTTGAAAACAGCATTAAGGAAGACCGTAGCGAAGAAAATACTCACCGCAAAAGAACTGTTAACAATTACAACCGAAATTGAAAGCATTCTCAACTCGCGACCAATTACCCCAGTCAACGAAAACACAAATGAAGTATTGCGGCCGATCGATTTTTTGCTGCCACAAGTACTCCAAACGCAAAACAATAAAAATCATAACCAGTTTGACTTTTGGCATCATAACTCAGTTAAACACTTATTTCAAAAAACTCGAAGAAACTCTCGACGACTTTTGGACTGAGTAGCAGAAGAGCTATTTGCAGTACTCAGTTGCTCCGTACTCAGTTGGACGCCTCCCTCAAACAGACAAACAAGGTGGTCCAACAAGAACCTGAAATCGAAGAAATAGTTATTGTGGTTGACGATAACCTTTCACGCGCCACATGGAAACTGGGAAAGATTGTCAGCACTCATCAGAACAATCGAGGACAGGTAACAACAGCAACATTACAACTTCCTAGAAGTAAGATCTTCACAAACCCGAAAGAAGTGCGGCGCTTTGTCGCACACCTTTTCCCTTTAAAAGTCAATCGTAATATGCAGAATCAACGAAACTCTGGAGATGTCAACCTTGAGAAGGAAGCACCAGAGGTTGCCAATATCGCTCTTATCACCAACCGAAAGCGCAATAAAAGCAGCTTATCAAAATTCTTCGTCACTTCTCTAGTTTTTTGAATCACCTGTTTCCTACCCTGCTTTGCGCTCATCGGGTACGATCGTGGTAACACCAATTTAAATATCACTGCACTTAACGCTACTCGCGTTGCTCCATGTCAGATGTACTCGAAACCACCTGTCATTACAGCTGCAATTATTCAATTGATTCAGCTCTCCGAATCATACCCAGTTCAAGTCACTCAATGCGAGGTGGTCGTTTTGCGGCACGTTACCAGATGCGACATTTTTTCCCATTCTTCTGAAGTCCCCGGGCATGCCACGTTTCTGATTCGGTTAAGGGAAACTCAGTATAAAGAACTGTATCAAACTGGTAGCTTGCAAATCCAAGGCAGTATTTGATTCTATGACTTGCAGCCGTTGAAACAACACACCAGAGTTACTGTTTTGGTCGGTTTTCTTACGCCCAAAGGCCGTTGCTCAGAAGAGAGCTACGCAGATGCTTATGGGTCGTGGCAGAACGTAGTGGTCTGAGCAACATGCACCATTACAACGGATCGGTACGAAACGGTAGCGCATACTTCTACAGACGAAATAAAACCGAGATCACAGCTCACTTGCCGATATTCCGCGGGTTACTGCATAGATATCGAACAAGGAGACACGTATTGAGAAGTTAACCCTAAAGAAGCATGTAGTAAAGAGACCCATATTGTACCCTACGAAGGAAATGCTAGACTCATTACTTTCCAAGATACTGACAAAGGAGGAAACCAGAGAGTTACGTATTCAGTCAAAGAGGGTCAGAAGGTATTTGCTACAACACCATAGAAAGCCTGTGCAATAACAATATAGAAAACTGAACATCCTAAACTGGTAACTGCACAGAAAATAGAAAGTTTTATTTCAGAAAGCGAGAGATACTGAAGAACGCCCTCGATCTCTTAGTGTACATGAATGCCAAATGTAGAAAGTGGAAAGTAGAAAGTGGAAAGTTAAAGAAGTATATTAGGGTGAGAAGGTTAAAGAACAAATAGATAAGAGAGCTGGGTGAGGGAAAGGTAGAGGAGTAGAGGAGTAGAAAAGTGTGGAGAGGAAAGAGGTTAGAGGAGTATAAAAAGGTGCAGGATAAAGAGCAGAAAGCAGACGAGGTGGTGAAGAGAGCTAGTAGAGAGAGAAGCACGTGAAGGTAGAGAAGGTAAGAGGGTAGAGGGTAGGAAAGTATCAGAGGTAGAGGAGATAAGAGAGTAAAGAGGTAGTGGGGAGGTACGAAGGTAGGGGGGTTACAAGCAGTAGATGCGTTCGTGAGCGTCAGATTTTTGGTCGGATTGCAGTCTGGGATTACCGCCTATTGCTAGATCCATCACTAGAGTGACACATCTCACGCCTCACCCATTATCTAACGGCACACCCAAGGAGAACTTGGTCTCTTAACGTGTCCGGCCGTTCCTGTTACACTTCTCTGCCTCCAGTTATCAATCCGTAGATTGATCTGGAGGCTCTGCTTGAATAATACTGCTGGTCCAATCTCCTCTTATCTAATCATTCAATAGTCCCGTCCTCTGTCGGTTTTACAGATCGATTTGGTTGTCGTTAAGGAATGTCTTCAGCACCAGACAGTTGTGTAGTTTGTTGATTCATTGGCGGTGATTCTTAGTTTCTCAATCCGTTTCAGTTAGCTTGCTAGGTAGGTTGAAAGAATTCTTGAGCTTCCCTCTACTGCACTTCTCTCAATGCGTTCAAAATACTTCTCAGTTTCTCTCGTTTTCAGGTTCATCTTTTCCTTTACTTCTTAGAAAATTCCTTTAAGAATTTCTCTACATAGCTTGGTAATGATTGGTAGAAATTGTAAGTCACAAGATAAATCTTTCGTATTTCGGCCACCAGGTTAAGTCCTTCTTTTATGGTTTTTGCAGTCGTTTCTCTTTCGGTTGAGTTTATTTCGTATCGATTTATTTTCATCGCTCTTTGGTCAGCTAATCTTGTCGTTCCTGCGACGAAAAATTCGATAACAAGTTTTTCTCTTTCTTCTTACCTATCACCACCATATGTGGTCTATTATGATTCAGTTTTGCCTTTGTGAATATTGGAGTGTCTCAGTATAAAATAGCTTCATTTTCCACTTTGTTCGGTATGGCATTAGAGTAATAGACAAGTGATAAGCCGTATCGTTTGCACAGAACGAAGTAGACGTTTCAAGCCACTACATTGCGTCTGTTTATATAGGCTTTTAAGCCGATAGTTACAGTGGTTCAATACATAATCGACCGTTTCCTTATTATTGCCGCATTTTCGACGGGATTTATCGTCAGTTTTGTTCATTGGCCCACCTTTACAACAGATCGCATTTTCTTGAGCTGCTACTGCATTTCTCATAACCTTCATTCCTATCCATCTCTTCCGTAACCATAAGAAGAATTTTCCTATATTTAGTTTTTTATTTCGCCATACCTTGCTGGCTGCTTCTAGTGATTAAACTAATTTAAGTATTTGTCATTCCACATCTTGCAGAGCATTTGACGTATAGTAGTTCTCGTTTCTTTCATCGTTTTACATTCGATTCATTAATTTTTGTTTTGCGCATACATTAATATCCATTTGATTTCGATTTCCTCTTGTATTTTTATATCATACTTTTCAAGTATTCTTTTACCATCTACTGTCAGGCCTCTTTTCTTTCTTTTCCCGAGCGTTCCGTGGTAATCATACACTTTTAGTAATCATTGCTGCATCTTCAAATATATAAACATTTTTAACAGCCAGTTCCGCTTCTTCCTCTAATAAGATCCAGCCACATTCTCTTTTTGCCCCGTCGAGATATAATCGAGCTATCGAGGTACCTTGAAACTTTCTCATGCATTTGCGTGGAACTTGCCCCATAGTGTTATCGAGTCGCTTTGTCGCGGATATCACTTCACCACTTCGCTTCCACGCCAGTAGCCACTGATCCCATTTTGTAGATGTATCGGAGCTTTCGTACTACCAATGCTCTAGATCCGTAAAACGTTTGATTCCAAGAGAGGTCACTGCTTAGAATTTCCTTTGTGATATTGACGCACTGTTGGGCCAGTTCTTCATATCTATCTTTTACGGGCCATAGTTCTTGATTTATTCCAAGGTATTTATAACTTTCTTCATCTAAGACCTGAGGTATATTATTTGTACCGCTGGTTCTTGTTTTAGTTGGTGACGTTTCCATTATTTTCTTCGCACTTCGGTAACATTTGATAGCGCATTTTTGTTCGTTTAAAGTTAGTTCTATTGGCAGCGTAACTTGTTCGACCGCTTTGATTAACCGTTCTACCTTTTCTTTATCTTTTCCATATAACTTCAAATCATCCAAGTAAGACTGGTGATTTATATATTTGAGTTCCGCCTGCTTTTCTTTATCACTCTTCTTTCTTCTATTTAGACAGCAGCTTATTAATGACATCGCTCGGACGAACAGCAATGATGATAATGTGTCGCCTTGAAATGTTCTATTTTTTACCTTTATACGCTTTTTCATCGTTTTTCCTACTTGAAACACTGCTTCGTTGCTCTCCTCAAAAATCCTTGTACTTCTGCAGGCATTTTTGTTGATTTCAATAGCTATTTCAGGTAGGAGTGTGTAACGGAGTCAAATGCTTTTTGAAAATCCATCAAGCATAATGCTAATGATTTTGTGAAGTATCGCGCCCGTTCGATCGTGTATTGGTCTTTCAATATTGCATGTAGACATGCTGTTTCGCGTGCTCTCATAGCCCTTTGTTTTTCCGGGATAAGTTCCAATTGTTCGCATCTCGATCTGCACAGTTCACTTATCATTCCTGTCATTATCTTGTACACGGTACTTGGGCAAGTAATTAGTCTATAATTTGATAGATTCTCCTTGCCTCCTTTTTTATATAGCAACACTGTTCTGTTTTTCGCTAGCCATTAAAATGATAGATTCGCAGTTTTAATTCCATCACACGTTATACTTTTCACTCTTTCTCGAGCTTCTTTCAAGTTTTTCCACCAGTACATGTGGATACCATCCAGTTTCGTTGCTCTCCAGTCTTTATAACAACTTTTTTGAACAATTTCTCTAGGTCAGCTTGGTTTACTGTCATTAGACCTTTTCGTTGAATTTCTTGCCGCGTACATTTTTTCCACGCCATTAGCTTCTCGCTTTCATTCAGATTTGTCACCTTTGTTACTCCAATTATAGAGACTCAGAACTGGAGTGTATCTTCTTTTTTAAGAGAAGTGGTGATTTTCCTTTTTTTCTTTCACCTCGGATTGATTATAGAGATAGCTGGTCTGCAAATTTCTTTCAAACTGCTTTCCTTATCTCACCTTTTTTCCTGAGAATTGTCCTTTTTTTCGCAATTTTTGTTTTATTTCGAATTGCAATTCGGTTTTAATCAGGATTTTAGTACTACAACGTCGTCCAATATATTCCCGTATTGTTTTTTTAGAAAATCTTCTTTTCCTGGCCAGAGTCTGTTTCGTCGGCTCTCAATCTCGCTTTTTAAACATTGTCGTATATTTCTGACTCTTTCCAAGTCTCCGCGTTTTTTTTTTATACCACTGTTCTTTTTTTTTCGCTGTAGTACTTTCTTTCTTCTCCTGGTAGATTTCATCAACTATAGCACTTGCTGCCTCATACACCGCATTATTCAAGTATCGCAATTCATTCCGATTTCTCGCTTCTTTCTCTATCGCATTCTTGATAAGGTAGCTTCCAATCTGCTTCATTTCTTCACTAACTTTTTGTCTAAGTCTTTTCAATAGTCGCCGGTCTATTCGGTAAATGCTATACCTCATTACCGACTCAAAGTGCGCTTCCGTTCTTTCTGACACGTGTAGTTTCTGGCTTTTTATTTGCTCTCCGCTTTATCAGTTGTTACACAGATCTGTTTGATTATTCAATAAGTTAGCCTCTACTTTTTCTGTCCGCTTCGGACTTTCTTGTAGATGGTTTGCTTCTTCTTTTTTATTTGACGATGTGTCCGGGGCCTTTTGGGGTATGATATTTTCGTTTTTGTTTATGACCTTCTCTTTTAATTGACCCCGTCGAGAAAGAAGTGCTTGTACAGTTCTTGATCTCCCCATTAGACCTTCAAACTTTCCTTTTACATTATTTTTCCACAATATTTTTCTGCTATATCCTACACACAATTGCGTATCATATTCTTCTTTTGTCTACTCATTTCCAATTGCATTCCGCTGTCTTCTTTCTACCTCTATGAGTTTCAATATCCGCCATCGGGTCTTCAGTGCATCAGTTGATCTTTCACCTCGTGTTTGTTCACAAAATCTCGATCTTACCTCATTCTATCTGATTTCCTGTCCACGGTTACATAATTCTTTCAAGATCTTATTCTCATCAGCAGTCCATCTTTTATTGTAGTAGGAAAGGTTATCTCCCGTTTCATTCTCCTTTTCGCCAGCTTCACTATTGTCGCTATTTTTAGCTTTCTGCTTTGGCGGAGCATCGTCGCCGGGATTTTCTGTTATTGATACTCTATAGCAATGTTCAGGGTATTAAGTTCTAAGAGCACCCGTCGATAGAAGACTTAGATCAGTTTCCATAGCTTCTCACAAGTTGCACAACCTCAGTAAGAGCTAAAAACCCGCTTGCGGCTGCTGCAGAGTGGTATATACGCCGCGTGCTGCGTCCGCTAGTTCAGTTGCGTTGCCCGATCTTTACCTTCTTCTTTTAGCCAGCTCTCCAGCTTCCTAGGTTTACTTAAAAACTGACCCCGTTTTAAGCCTAGTGATTA